CTGGCCCCGCCTCTTGAGTCAGGGCGCCTCCCGCCGGCCAGAGAGCGCGAGGAAGGGTCCGGAGAGAAGCTGGCATCTTCAGGGAGGGAGGGAGGGAGGGAGGGAGGCGCTTTCAATCTGAAGGAAAGAATAGCCTTCATTTGTCCGAAGAGTATCCGAAACATCCCGGTAGCCGCCGTAGCCACGCAGGTGTTCTTCGCAAGGCCTTCGGCTTCTTGCTTTGTGGCTGACCTTGATGCTACTCAGGTCTTCTCGGTGCCACTTTCTTATCTGTGTCGGCTTGCGAGCAGTCCTCCTCGGGGTTTCTCTTCCTGCTATACCGCTTCCTTCCGTGCCAGTTGGCCATGGTTTCCCACTTAAGGGCACCGGTTCTTCAGAATCGAGTGTGGTCCGGAGTCGTTCTCCCCTCCTCTGGGGCGGTTTCCTCTTTTGCAGGCTGTTTCGAGGGGTTGCCTTCTTCTTTGTCTAGTTTAACAAACTTACACGACCAAGCCACCTTTTAGAAGCCTTCAAATCCAAGCCCTTCCCCTCAAGACACCCGCAGGCGGGAATAAAAACTGGTTCTTGCCGGAGGTGGCTCAAGTGAAGACTCCTTTCCACCTTTGCTGGGACGCAGGAGAAGAGCTGCCCAGCGGAGCGAAAGGCCGCCTCGCCTCCCTGGCCTCCTTGGCCAGCCGGCCAGCCGGCCCCTCCCTGCCTGCCTGCCTGCCTGCCTGCCCTTGACTCCCCGCGGCCCCCCTCCGCCCAGCGCCGGATGAGCCGCCGGGCCGCCGCCGGGGAGAGGCGCTGCTTCAGCACCGCGACCTGTGGACAGCTCCCGCCTCCCGCCGCCGCCGCCGCCGGAGCGCTCCTTCCCAAGCCAAGCCAAGCCAGGAGTCCTGCCCGCCCGGCACGCGCCCTGCCTCGCCGCCGCCTCCTCTCCGGCCCGGGCCGCTCCAGCCTCCCTGGCGCCGATGACGACGCCCCCTCTCGGGGGGCCAGAGGGGGCCCCGCCCCGCGCCCCGCGCCCCGCAGCCCAGCCGAGGGAGCCCCCGCGCCGAGGAGGGAGAGCGAGAGCGAGAGGCGGCGTCTAGCCGCGCGGAGGCGCCTCTGCGGCCGCCCGCCCGGCCACTCCTCGCCCCCTTCCCTGGCCCGGGACCGGCCTCCGCCCGCCAGAGGAGCGCCAAGATGCCCGTCCGGAGAGGCCACGTGGCCCCCCAGAACACTTACCTGGACACCATCATCCGGAAGTTCGAGGGGCAGAGTGAGTCGCCGCCTTCCTTGTTGTCTGCCTCCCCCACCCCTCCCTCCCTCCCCCCCGGCCGGGGGAAAGCGCCTCCGCAGCCGGCATCCCTCCTGCTCCTGCCTGGACCTTGGACCCTGTGGACATGGCCACACTCTCACGCCTCCCGGAGGAAATCGGAGAGGGAGGGGAGGGGGGGGGCTCTGTCTGGAATACAGTTTATATTAGTATAGTGGAACAGGTTGCGGTTAAAAAAATCTCTGGGAAAGGAGGTTTGTTCACTAGCAAACTAGGAGAGAAGTCATTACTCTAGAGTTTTCTTGGGGGGGTGGGGGGTTATCCTTTGAGACAGTGTTCCCGTCTTTAAATATATATATTTGTGTGTGTGTGTGTGTGTGCATCTCTGCCCCTTTGCCCAGTCTTGGGTGAATGGAAGGATCTCTCGTGCCAGTGCCTGACTCTGCCAGGCAGCCGGGGAGACAGGAGGAGCTGCCGCGCTTCCTGGGGTCTCTGGTGGCATGGGGGCAACGTGCCGGAATCCAGGGGAAATGTACACCATCAGTAGCCTTTCATGGGGTTCTGTGGCAGGCAGGCAGGGAGCTTCAGGGTACGCAGCACAGCAGGAAGGCCAGTCCAGGGGCTAATTCCCTCTGCCGGACTTTGGGTCTGCGGCACAGAACCGAGTGCTGGTGGTCGACACCATAGTGCGGCCCGGGAGAGACAGCGGATCAAACGCCAGCACAGTCCCCTCAGCCTCAGAGTCTCCGCTGGACACCGAGGGGCAGGCAGGGGGACCCTTCCTCTGGACTCTCTGGAGTCTCATTTCAAAGCCTCCCAGGGCTGCTCAGACGCACTTGGCAACCTACACAGAACCTCCAGGGTGGACCACTTTGAGAGGAGAGGAGAAGGCCTCGGCTCACGCAAAGTGGGACGCAACGGAGGAGGGAAACGGGCACATCCGGGGGGGCCCCTCTCATTCCGTTCTGACTTCCAGTCCTGGAATTTGCTAGGCTGCCTCGCTCAGTAGACCTGCATCGGCTGTCTTTGGCAAAGGAAGCAGGAGAGGCCCCGGGGGTGGGTGGCCTGAGGACTGTCCACCCCTTTTCTTTGCAAAACTGCAAAGAAAGGGGCAGATATTTTTTCCCTGTACCGGCAGGCCTAAGTGCTTCAGGAATGTCCGGAGAGACCAGGAGGCCAGCAATAGGCCTGATTACAAATGCATCCATCCGCCAGCCCCCTTCCCCTGCTCTGCCGGCTGAGAAGCCCAGGGCGATCCCAGGGAAGCATCCTAAATCACTCGCTTTGACCGGAACAATCGGCTTCTGTGAGATCTTAACTGTGCCACCATTGCTCAGACTCAGCATCTGAGTTCCCCCCTAACACAGAGCGAAACCTCGACCATGAAACCAATTCCAGCAGTAAGCCTCCACCCACGCCCTTTGGTATCCTGCTTTGTACCCAGCTGAAATCCTGGACTGCAGGCAGCTTTCCGTCACCAAGCTCAGTTGTGCCAAGAACCACCAAGCTACGGCCCTTGGGCTCCCCCCCCCTTCATGGGCCACGGCGACCGGGTAGCTTGTCATGCCCTGTTCTTGACTCTCAGCCCCCCCCCCCGCTCCCCTGCAGCTGGGATCTATCGCCCGTTGCAACATTGTAGTCGTATTTCTTGCCCCTCCCCAGCAGATGCAACGTTACACACGTAGTCTTTATTGCATCAGCAAATAAGCCGTAGCAAAACACAAGGCATCTAAACTTGCACAAGGAGAGTCACCATTTAAAGTCAAAAACTCTCTATCAAAAGTTTTTAAAAGGTGCACTCAGTGCACTGTTGATAAAGGTCGATGCATTTAAACCTAGAAATGTGTTTCACATTTGAAATTAAAACAAGGGGAACAACCAGCAAAAACAGCCCTCCACCCTGCACTGGAGGATCCTGAGAAAGGAGAGAAGGATTAACCCTCGCTTCAAGGTGCACGCTTCTCTGTGCCTGCTCTGAAGTGAAAAATTTAATAGAATAAAGGCATCATCAATATACTTAATCCTCAACATGGTACCATCTGTGGATATTTAAATCTGGACATTGGGCCATGAACAGACAAGACAGATTTTTGTACAAACCCGAGAAAAGCGTCACGTTTGCAGGACAATTGGAAAACTAGGAAAAGGTGGGTGAATCCCCCCCCCCCGAAAAAAAGAAGCAGCACCTGTGGTTTAAGAAAAGGATGCCTTTTGAGTGGCTGTTATTGCTAGGGAACCACAAAAATATTGGCAGCCTTCAAGCCTTGTTTTCTGTCATGGAAAAAGCAGGGGGGAAGCGCAGGCCCCTTCCAGGGCTGTTTTGGCTTTCGAGGGAGGACTTTTTGTAACCAGGCCTGACAGCAACCACCAGGCAACTTAATACCCACATGACATTCATGACATTGCTGCTGTTCATCAGCAGCCACCTTACAAAGGCCAGTGTGATGCTGGGCTGAACATTTCGGACTAGGCGATAGAAGACCCAGGTTCAAACCCCCACTCTGCGGTGGACGCTCACTGAGTGATGCTGGGCCAGACTCTCTCCGTCCCTCTCAGCCTAACCTGCCTCACAGGTGTATTGTAAGAGCAAAATGGAGGTGAGGGGACTGATGTAAGCTGCTGTGGATCCTCACTGGCGAGAAAGGTGGGGTGTCTATGAAGTGAAATAATGAATAAATGTAGCTGGAGATTGGGGCAGATCAAAATGTAGGTCGTCTGGTGGGAAGGAGACCAGGTCGCAGTGATCGCATCCAGGTCAGATGACGGCCAGTGTTCCCTCTAAGCTGTGGAGTCTTGTGAGCAAAAATTCCACTTTGTGAGCTACTGGCATTAAAGCTGTGAGTGAGTGATTTGGCTGCTGCATAAATCAGTTTGCTCTGGAGCCCCATCCTTCCTGAGCTAAGACAAAAATGTGTGAGCTGGAAGCTAAAAAACTGTGAGCTAGCTCACACTAACTCAGCTTAGAGGGAACACTGATGACGGCCACAGGCTTCGCATGAGGCTGCCTTTGAAAATGGCTTGGAAACTCGGGCTAGTCTCAGAGGCCGGTTACAAGGACTGTTCTGAAAGATCTTCAGGGTTTGCCCGTCTGTTCCCAGCCACAATTCAAAGTGCCTGTTCTTATGTTTAGGGTCCTAAATGGCTTGGGGGCCTGGTGCCCGGAGGACTGTCTCCCCCCCGTACTCTCGAGCCTGCCCAGTAGGTTCTGCCTCGCAAGCCCTGCTCTCTGTGACCCCACCTCCAGATGTGAGGCGGGTGGTGACCAAAGGCAGAGCATTTTCTGTGGTGGCCCCTCAGGCCTGGAATGGCCTCTCCTCTGTGGCTTGTCTGGCACCAAGTTTACACTCTTTTAGGTTCCAGGACAAAGACGTATTTTTACCCAGGCTTTTCATTAGGGATATTATCAGCTTATGTTTTAATGATAGGGGGTTTTCCTGCTGTTTATGTCCAAAGGTTTGTTTTTAATGGCTTTTTATATTGTGTTTTTTAATTGTAAGCCAGCTTGAGTGGGACTCTGAAAAGGCAGCATAAAAATATCATAGAAACATAGAGTTGGAAGGTGTCCCAAGGGTCATCTAATCCAACCCTCTGCCCAATGCAGGGAGTTCACAGCTACCTCTCCCCCCCACCCCCTAAGTAAATAAATAAATAAAGGAGAAACATCATGGAAAGAGGAGAGGATATGGGAGCTGCTAGCTGTAAGAGGAAGGTGTGGGGAAAGTGAGGTGCCCCCTGCAAGTCCTTGCAGGTTCCCCACCGCATAAGTATCTTCTGTTCTGCCCCAGCAGCAGCCACCACACACCTGGGTCCTGGACTGGTGCCAACCACTGCCCAGCTGGGCCCGGGTGTTCTCGGGAGAGGCTGCCCAGGGGAGGGGAAGGTAGGCCAGCTGGTGGGCATGGAAGAGAGAAGCAGGAAAGGGGGTGAAAAGGAGAACTCTCAGGGAAGGGAAAGTGTGGACAGTGGAGGAGGAAATCAGATCCCCCTGCAAGTCCCTGGGGCTTCTCTCCTATTTACCTGACGTTTCAGGGGCAGGGTGCCTTAGGGGAAGAGTGCAGTCCCTGATACCAGTTGGGCCTGAATGCCAAAATGTGTTTCTGTCTAAAGCCAGGGGAAAACCTACCAAATATATTTGCTAATGTGCCTAGTCTGAATCCTATACAGTTTAATGCAGGGCAGCACAATCCTAGGCCCCAGGTGGCAGTGCAGCACCAATTGTCATGCCTGCCCTTGACTCAGCCCCAGAGCCAGCTCCTGATAGCCTAAGAGGGGAGGATTCAGTGCCTTTAAGAGCTGAAGAAGCATCAGGATCTGCACCTACTGTGAGTACTGAGGAGGATACACAGCAATCTGAGTCAACTACAGGACGGTTTGCACCTGGGATTGAGCAGGCCATAAGCAGCTCACCACCTGCATCTCCCCCACCTGTACGTAGGCTTAGGGATCAGAGACGTCAGGAGCTGGCTAGCCGACGAAAAGAAGCACGTTCAAGAGGGCAGAGATCCTTGAGCCGTGAGTTTTAACAGCAGCCAGGACCTCGCACAAAGGTGCTAATGAGTTAATGGGCCAGAGCACTATTTAGTAGGGCCTCTGGCCATGAGCAATTTGTGCTGGCAACCTCGTTCGTAGAACCAGAAGCTCTGCACCTTGATTCCTGTTTGACTCTGTGGCTTTTGGACTCGGCTTGTGTTTGGACTGCTCTGGCTCCTGACTTCCGGCTTTGAACTTGACCACGCCCTCGGCTTTGCTCCCTGTACTCTGACCTCTGGTAACGTTTGACTACGGCTTTGTCTGGTGTTTTGGGACTTGTTTAATGCTATGCTGACTGCTCTCCCGGCTGACCTTTGGACTTGTATTGTGACTCCCCCTGTCTGCCTGCCTTCCTGGCTCTACCGTGACACCAATATCCGTATCTGACAATCCAGTCACAAAGGCAAGAAAATGCCCCTAAAGGCCTAGTCTGAGGAGCTGAGAACAGGGCAACTGCCTGGAAACAGCTGCCA